TGAACTATGCATATATATATATAAGTATATCATGATGAAATTATTAAAAATTTAATTAAAAAAGTGTTGAAATTTTATTCCAAATTTTCATATACTATTAGAGTTTGGAAATGAGAGTAGTGATTTTGTAAATAATAGTAATTTTAAGTGTTATGTATGTAATTATTTTCCTAGTCAGTTAAGATTTTATTTGAAGCTGCGCTGCAAAATATTACAAAAAAAAATTTTCTTTTCTCAATGACATGTAATAATAATAATAATAAATTTAGAAATTCACATTTATAATTAAGAAATGTATATACATGGCGTCAAATTCTGCATTTATATATATCGCGCCCAAATTTTAATTTTTACAAAATGTGAAATAAGTAATTTTTATTTTTTCATACAAAAAAATTAAAATTTAAATATGAGATAAATAAATACATAAAATTGGGTCCTATTCTTGTAAATTCCTCTTAATTATTAAAATCTCAGCCACATTTGGCCCGCCATTTCACGAAACCGACCCAGAACTGTTCTTGCCTACTCCGTCAGATTCTAAACTTCTGCAAGCTCTTCCCTGAGCCTCTTCTACTCAACTTGGTCATCTGCGTGCTGTGAGCGGCTCCTACTTCTATGGAAGACAACGCCGACCTCCATGATTGGGAGATTGTCCACGACTCCGACCTCACCGATTACCACATGGGCGTCGTGGTCCTCAACGAGGACACGGCGAAAGGCGCCATCAAGGATGATTACTTCCCCTTCGACTCCTGCAGTAGCCAGAACATTCAATCAGAGGAGGATAGCAGTGAGGGAGGAATAGATTCTGATAACCCAAGTGGCGTCGACGATTCCGACTCTAATACGTTTCTGGAAAGCTCCAGAGAGCATTTGGGTTTCGTTGGAATGAGGTTCCCGATGAGAAATCCTGAAAGTTTTTTGTCGGATGAATCATCGGAGGGGCAAAGATCGTTGACTAATAGTGTACATGCTGAGCTTGAAAGTTTGGAGGATTCTGTTATGGAAATGGGATCTGAAGTGAGTGTTCCTGGGTATGGAAACTCGGGAGGGGAAAATGAAGGGAGCGATAGTTCTGACTCGCGGGAGATAACAGAAAATGGGGGTGATACGAGCATTAATGAGGGTGAGAAGAAGGAGAAGATATGGTGGAAGGTGCCTCTGGGGTTGCTAAAGTATTGCCTTGTTGGTATGAGACCTGTTTGGTCTGTTTCGATGGCTGCTGCTGTGCTTGGGATTGTTCTGCTGTGGAAAAAGTTATATAGGATGAATCACAAGCGCCGAAGCATTCCACTGAAGTTTGCTATTGATGTCAAGGTAAAACAAGTCACGATTTCTTTAGTGCTTGAAAGCAACAAATCTGCAGTTTTACACCAGTAATGGGTAGGGAGGAATTTCTTAGAGAACCTACTTTTAACTTTTAATTTGCATCGAGTGATGATACAAAGTTTGCCATATTATTGCAAAGTATTAGTTTGCAAAATTTAAGCTAAACTTTAACTGTTTCAAATTACTCAATCCTTGAGGGAATGGACATCTTCAACTGACTTCATGTTGCTCTTTTTTCTTTCCCCGACAATTGAGTTATTTTGTCTTATTTCAATTTGTCGACATCCTTTTTGACTTTGTTATATTGTTTGTTTTATTGATGCTTAGTCTAACTTACTTTTGAAATTCAGAGAGCATGGAAATCTAAATTTAAGGGAATTTTAACCTGGGTTTCTTTATAAGTGCTTTTGAAATTCTTGATGTGGTGGTTCTTCTGTCATTTTGTTTTCTGTTGGGAAAAGGTTAAACCTCTGCCCTTTATCCCTTGTTCATTGCTATGTTCTAATGCACATTTTTATTTGCCCTTTTTATGTTTATTTCTTCAAAACAAGCTTGCAAAATGCTTTAATTCTATTGGCTATAACCTCTTTGTGTCTGAAATTTTTCATATAATTTAGAACATTATGCTTCTCGGTTCTGGTCAAAGCTTCAAAAGTTTATGCTTTATTATGTATGTCGCATAATGAATCTACCACAATTTTACCTCTTTCAAGGTGTTTACTTTTGCAACTAGCCTACTTTAGCAACTATTGAATAAATTGCATCTAAACTTTCTTCCATTTATTTATTCTATGAATCCTTCTATTCTTATTCCAATTGAATTTATAAATATTATCTTTAGAATAAGCTCAAGTGCATTCATTTTCCTTGATAGTATTTAATTTGATGTTATATATTATTGAATGCGTTGTTTATAGCCTTCGATAATCCATTGAATGCATAAAAAATTGATCAATAAATTTCTTCAAGCATGATAGTAAAAATTTTGCATCTTCAAATGGTCGAGTTTCAATAATGTCCTGTATTGCAATACATGGATTATTTGTAACATTTATATTCTATGTAACTAAAGATGAGCTAGGTGCTCATCTAGCCATCTAAGCAATATTCTTGCACCTTGCATGTTATTCATGCATGGGCATAATTACTGAAGGTTTTCTTAGGCTAGACCACCATGTTTTAAGGAGCTGCGCTTTTCCTTGATTTTATAGATGTTTATTCTTTAAAGATGGCATATGGTTTACTTTTATATGGTGGCAGTTAATTGAGGGTGGTCTGTAAAAAACATCTATTACTATAGCTGAAGAAATAAACTTATTAACTAGAAAATAATTTAGGTCAGATTTTATTATTCTAGAGTAGTAAATCTTGAGAGATAAGAGGATGAGTTCGATGAGACAAAGGAGAAGATGGTAACAAATTCAACGTTGAAAGTGAGAACATACATGGTAACAAATATATTATAGAATAATGGAGATGATTTCTAGACCGCATTTTGCAAACCCAAATAGTTTAGTTTTTTTGGTAATTAAATATGCATTTTGAGTAAGTTTTAATATAATCTATTTAGCAAGGTTTTAGTGCTTAAAATGCAAGAAAAAGAAATGTTATTTTTTTAGCATAGGTTACTACGATGGTTATTATTTTATTTCAATCTATAGTCTCATATCAAGATTCATTTTGATTGAAGTAATTTTATCAAGGGAAATAGCTTCTTCTTCTTAGCACTTAATTTTGTACAAGTAACACCTTGCCAATGGTGATGGGCAATCATGCTACCTTGAATGTACGTAATGCTTTAGACAACATTGTCTTATAGCATATTCAATTATTTTTAATTGAGATACATTGGTTATATTGCATTTTCATGGAGTTATATTGCATTTTCATGGAGAACTTTGTATGCCCTTCGATCATCCTCATTGTTTAATGCTTGATGAATTGCCTAAGCTTCACTGAACACTGAAACTTTATCCATAAATAGGTTTTACATTTTTCAGAGATATGTTTGTTGAGATTTTATAAATGTTTGAAGACCATTGATGTTGTATACATAAAAATAAACTTGGGGGAATAATTGTTCTCCTTTTATGAGAACAAAAATCCTTCTCTCCACTCTCCTCTCACACACACACACACACACACACACATGTATATATGTGTTTTTGTGGTGTCTCGTCCAACTTGTTTTTCTCCTAGCATAGACAATTGAACGTTTCAAATGGATCATACATTATTTACTTAAATTTTTATTAGCCCTAATGGAATTTTAGAACAACCATTAAATATAAGTTGAATAAACCTGTTTTCCAGGTCTTGAAGCTTGTGGTTCAATTTGTTGGGAGTACTGAAGCATGATAAGCATAGTATAGCATGACCAGTTTTCTACAAGTGAGATAGTAGGGAGGGAGAGAGGGAGGAAGATGCCAAAGAAATATTATTAACAAAGCTCATTGTTCCAAAAATATGAGCTTATCTTGATTAATGTATGGTAATTGGAATGGTCCACCTGGTTTCTGTAGGTGAAATAATAGGGATGGAGGGAGGGGAGGAAGTGAAGGAGGAGAAGCTATATAAGCATGATTAGCATGGTATACCTTTACCAGGGTTCTGCGGGTGAGAGTTCCAAAATCTGTGAGTAGCCTGGTAATATCTGGATGTCACAGTCATATATCTAGAAGATGGTATACCTCATCCTAGCCTTTGATAGCCTTGCAGTTCATATTTTTCTACTCTTTTCTCTCAAACCACCCAAAAGGCTACATTCATTTTCCCTTTTTGATAGTTAGAACGTAGTCCTATTTGTTAACCCATAAAGCAATGTTATTTAGTGGAAAACAACCTAGCAGTGCATAAACTGCTGATGTTTTCTCATAACATCTTAATTCCTTCTTTGAATGGAAAAAAATTAAGGACTCAGAATAATGCTAGTTTTGTTATTCACAAATATTCTCGTGACTCCTCTTTCCAGCATAACAATTAAGTTTGAATGTTCACTTGTCCATTAAGCAGATTGTGTCCTCCGTTCCTTTCTAGCCCTCTCCATAGGTATTAAGAAAGAAAGAAATTGGTCATAGTTGGGGCATCAAGTATTTGAGACTACATTTTTGTTTTTCCCTCAAAAGACACTTCACATAGTTTTCTTTTTTTTTTTGGAGGGACATTTACCTAACTGAAGATCTTTTTTTGAATTATAAGATTAAAATTATATATGTGTTCTAGCGTTAATTGTATATACATTTAACTGTTTTTGTACCCTTTGATTGATAAGATTTTTGTCAATTACATTGACCTGCAGAATTTCATTCAGTTTTACACATGGAAGATATAGTTAATTTATTATGTCGGCATTTTTTTAAGTGGTAACCCAATTTGCACTTATAACCAAACTCCAATCCAAAAGTTGCAAGCCCCAACTGCCATAGCTTCATGTAATCAAATGATACTTTCTCTTTAAGCATGGATTATAATGATTGGAAATCACTTACAAGCTATCTTAATATTTAGCTTTTGGTCAATTACAATTCCTAGAGAAGTAAAAATGCTTACATGCAGGGGCCCTTTTAGGGTTTCTAGATCAATCCTTTTATGCAATGTACATTGTGATGTAGCCAAGCCATGAACTATGCATGCAATTTTTGAGGGAAGTTAATTATTGATGTTAAAAATATTTATTTACTATCTTCGATGAAACATAAGATAATAAAATCTGATTTAGGTGAAAGAAATTTAGCCTTCAATATGAAATAATTACAAAAATAAAAAATAAAAACCTTAAAATGCACCATGATTGAAGTTTTATGCAATAAATAAATAAAATTAGCTTGTAACAAATTTGATGAAATTCATGCTTTCAACTAAGAGAAGTTGATTAAAAGAAGTACAAGAATAAGGGTGGGGGGAAGAAAGAGGAATAAATTTACAATGAAAACTTCATGCTTCTTCATGCATAAAGGCCTCTTCTTTAAGTTGTGGGGGGAAGGATTTACACATATGAACTAGATTTTTATCAACTACAGAATTGCCTTTTTTATGTGCCTAAAATACCTAGTTTTATTTTTTATGGACTTACAGAAAAAGAAAAAATAACTCATTTAGGCGATCACCATATGCTTCCATCTTTTCACATTAGTCTCTGACATGTACAATTCCTAAAATTAGTTGCAAAATAAGGAATTTTACAAACAATGGCCTTATATAATTTGCGGTTGAAGGAAGACTTAAACTATTGTTTTACCGTTGTTGATCTACATATGTGATTCACAACTTCATCTGATTGAATGTGATGACAGAAGAAAAGCAACCATAACCTTGAGATAAGCTGACTTAAAATGTCCAATTTACATGAAAGTAATGCCCATAACTCTAAATGGACCATCTCGTTTTGTCAAAAACATCAAAATGACTAAGAAAAAGCTCTTTTAGTTACATCAATGCGAGAGCATCACTCTTATTGTTTCTGAAAGAAGGCCTAGCTGATGTCTGGCCACCCGTCTCCCACCATTAAAAACCATCATATTTGTTACAATTTTGTCATCCCGGGATTCATCCCTATATAATTTTTGGGTTAACCTTGCAGAAGCCTTTGGCATTGTTTATTTTAGTCATCTTGTTTTATTGATGGTTTTCCCCTATTAGTGATTCAAAGTGTGCAGTCTTTACGTATGTTTTTGAGTAGATATATAGTTATAATCTATGGGCCTTTTATTGAAATAAGTGCAAAGTAAGAGCAGTGATAAAAATGTTTAGAGCATTAATTTCTTCAAATTAGTAGCATAATAACAACGTATTGATTCCGCAATTTAAAAATATTTAGATGGAAGTGTGAAAAAACTAAAAAAGGCAAATTTATAATTGATTATATTAGAGGAATGATCGACTTTATATCTACTGAAGATCAGATAGCTAGAACTTATTTCAGGTGATTTGTCATGTATAATGGAAGGGGTAAAATGAACCCCACTAAATTGATAGATGAAATTAGTGTCAAAAGATTGAAAGAATAATGCTAGTCCCACCTAAGATAAATTGAATTGAAGTTCAAAAAAATTTACTATGCGTAGGTTTATTATCTCAGTTAACACTTGGTAGGAACAAATAAAAGACGAGTATTAATTAGCTAACCCCAAATAGTTGGGATAATATTAATGATGATGGTAAATTAATAATGTTAATTCTTTATTTGTTACTGTTTTCTGACGTACTTTTGAAAGTAACTCTGCTTTATTTGCAGTTATTATATATTTTCTTCCTGTTGCAGATATGGACATCCCGTTGAAGATAATTGTGTAGTGGTAGCTTACTTTATTTTTTGTTGATTTATTGGTTTGCTAAGAATTTAAACATTTTCCATTTTCTTGAGGGGAATAGTACTTATCAGTTTAATTGAGAGAAATAAAGAGCCGGTTAATAAATTAATTGCTTGTTTTGGATCTATTTTATTTTTAATTGTATTTTAAGAAAATGTTTGTTTTGTGTATCTTTTGCATGTTTTTCTTAAATAAATAAATCAACTTATTTTTAAAAACACTAAAAATTATTTTTAGGTGGTTTAAAACAATTATTATCATTAAACATATTTTATTTTAAATTAAAATATAAATAAAACAAAATTAAAATGAAAATTGTAAAATAGAAAAGAGAAGTGATCCCAAACAGCCCTAAATTTTATGATTATTTTTTATCAATTATTGATGGTTTTCTATCCAAAAGTATTTGTAACTTTGTTCTGATTTTCCACCAAAGTATTAAAAAAAATTTTGATCTTGTGTTCCTTCAAGCTGATCCTTTTTTCCTGGCTGGATCGCATGTGCTACAGAGTGGATTCTATCTCTCCCTCACTCTTTCTCCTTGATAATGCTATGCTCAGAAAACTAAAGGTTTTGCTTCTAAGGTTGATTTTTCTTTCATAGCAAGCACACAATAAGAACTCGGAGAAGTGCAGTGCACCTTATTTTCTTCAACCGCATGCATAAAATATTTTATAAGGATAATTACATACATAACACCCGAAACATTACTATTTACAAAATCTAGCGCCCCAAGTGTTATTTTTGAACTAATGAACCGATGCATTCATATGTGCAACAATCAAATGGTTGAGAATTATATAAAAATGAAAAATATGGGCAGGGGTTTTATCATAAATTTAGATATTTGAGTGAGAATTTGAAAAATGGATGGAAGAGAGTGCTAGATTTGTAAATAGTAATGTTTCGGATGCTTTGTATGTAATTTGCCTCTATTTTTTTAATGATAACGTTGATGATATATGTAATGTTTTGCAACCGTTAGGCCAAAAGTTTTTTCTTATTCTTCTGACGGATTGTCTGGTATTTCTATATACATATTCTTGCTTTCTCTTAATTTTTGTCATTGCTCTTAAATGATGCAGAAGGCTTCCCAGTTTACCGATCGTTCTGCTCGTCTCAATGAAGCTTTCTGGGTTGTACGCCGCATGCCCATTATTAGGCCTTCTCTTCAAGCCAGTGGTGCCACCCAGTGGGCCCAATGGGTTGCGCTGCCCCTTAGATAAGTTCCTGAGCTGTTTTGATAGGGAAATGTGCTTTCTCTTCCATACTTCTTTTTCTCAACGAAGCTTTTCCTATCTATGTTTATTGATAGAGATACTCTGTTGTGTGAGCTTGAATTCTCTGATGCTTGCCCATATTATGACCTTGTAGCTATTTTGAAGGTTGAATATTATTATTATTATTATTATTATTATTAAATTTTCCATTTTGCTGCTGTTTAATCTGTCTGGTTGGTTGTGTTGTGTCCCTGATAAAGAATTGAATGCTCTCAGATTATCGCGATGTTGCAGGAACAAAGTTCTTGATCCTTTATCCGGGATACTCTCTGTTTTAAATAAAAGCTGATTCTTTTTATGGACGTTTCCCTTTTGTCTACCAGACAGGTAGTTTTCGCATGTTTACCTTTGATTTTGTTGTGAGACAAAATATACTGAGGGAATTAAGAGTGGAGGGCTGAAATTCACCATGTTAGAACTTGATTTGATTTTTTATTGATAGAGAACTATCAGTTACAGAATTGACTTGCTCATTTTTCATAACCCTGCATCGCTGGGTGATTGATACTGGACAACTCAGGGTTAGAATTTAATATGTTTTACCCGAGTTTGAATTCAAATGATAGTTAAATGATTGAAACGATTTGATAATTCCAGTAAGAATTTGGAAATGCATGAAATTATATAAATAAATAAATTTTCATAATTGCATTACTAATGTGTTAAACTTTTATGAAAATAAAAAATAGTAAAATCAAGAACACCAAATAATTCAATAACATTTTATGCAGATCTAATAGAAAAATGAATGAATAATATCAAAATAAGAAGAAATTAGGCCTTGCAGCGAAATAACTATGAGAAGTGGTTTGTTGCTAGGATGGTGCTATGTGATTTAAGTTGGAGGGGCGGTGCCCAGGGAGGAATGATGATTGAGTTGGGATGAGCCTCTTCGTTTAAGATCCTTACCTGCTTCGAGGAATAAAATTCTTGTTGATTTAAGAAAAAGACGAGATGAATATGATAAACGTAGAAATCTAGGTGGACCGGCCTCCTTTTCATGGTGGGCCCAAGCTCATCATCCAATTAGTGATTGATGGATTAATTGGAGACAATTTGGGGAACTCCTTAATTAGTTTTTGTTCTCTTCCTTTTCATGCTTATTTCAAAAATTTTTTCTTTTCATGTTTAGGCTAGATATATTTGGTAAGATTGTAAATTATGAGAGATTGATTTCCTTATATATATCACTTTATGATTGAAGGTCGGTAATGAGAATTGAGTATTTCCTCTCACATTTTTTTCTTCATAGTATCAGAGCAAGGAAACAAAATCTCTTAACCTGCATGCCCTCTTATGCTCGCTTCTACAACCACCAGAGCCTCTCCAATAGTTGTCCAACAGTTGGATTCCTCTTTGTAGCTCCTAGAATCCCTCTAATTAGTTTGCAGGCTTCCTCTGCTCTTTATCATAATTGTTGGACTCCTGCATCTACAATCCTCTATTCCTGAAGCAAGCACCAGCCAATTTCCCCTATCAAACAATAAACATGCATAGGGTTATGACCAAGTACAAAATGATGACGTCCTATTTTCCTTCGAAGGTTAGTTCTGAATTAGAGAAAAAATCATGTCCAAATGATGTGCATAGGAAATATATTTGTTTATGTTTTATTTTAATATATTGTTCCGTTAATTTAATGCTTATGAAAGGGATTTGTGATATGTTATGTAAGGTATAGGATCGAAGATTCATATGAGTGGAAGAGTCATAGAAAAATTTAGAAGGACGGACCAACGCCTTGGTGTCGGGCTGGAGTGCCTGGGCTTGCTCTACATAAGTCTAAAAGACAAAGAAGGCGAAAAGTAGGCACGATGATAGCATCTCTGAGACGTTGCAGCCTTTGCGCCTAGGCGCTAAATTTTGCGCTTTGGCACCCAAAGCCCTAGAGTTTCATCCCATGAAGGGGAGAAATAGGTGTTCTGACACTATCACCTAGGCACTAGTGAACAGGGATCTAGGCCTTAATACATGCATTTTGGCAGTTTTGGTGGTTTAAATGCACCAATTCGTGATGGTTGCTATATATTGTAATTAGTCGAAGCCAGAGGGCTTTTAAGACACTTTTAGAAGGACTCACATACATTTTGGAGAGAATTTGTCCTGTTCTTACACAGAAGGAAGTGGAGAGAACTTGAAGGGAGTTCCCAGTGCAAGTGTGAGTAAAGAGAAATTGAGAGTGATTCAAAATATGTTATTGTGTCGTAACTCTGTGATTTTTATAAGGAGAAGAAAGAAGATAAGTTTGCTTTATTTAATGTGATTTTATTTGGTTTTTATCTGTGAACTTCTTGTTGATGCTATTGCCTTTCAATAATATGCTAATGTTGTTGTTTGTGAGTATGATTTATGAGCAATTTTCTTTCATCTCATTTGGATTGGTTATGTAGGAATGATAGTTTGAATTGTCTTGTGTGATCTTCATTTGAATTCATATAAGATGTTGATTTAAAATTTGATTCTTAGTTTACTTTTATCTTGACTGGTTGAAATGTTAAAACATATTGTGAACTTTGAAATTTAGAAGAATTTAGTGGAAAACTTAGGTTAAACCATCTTAATTTAGGAGAATGAGAATATTTCCTCTAGGTTAGTGCAATTTATTTGGGAGAAACAATTTTCTTTGCTAATGACTTGTTTAAGGGAGTATAACTATATATAATTGTCGAACATTCTTAAACGTCCGAAAGGGGATAAGGAAAAATTATACTTTTAATTTACACCTGTAACTTGGTTCACTTATTTAAACTTAGAATCTTAGAGAACTAATCCAAGGGAGAATTTGCTAGCAACTGAAAAACTCTTTTGAAACCCTCACCTTAGTAGCTTAAATTTTAATACTTTCAAAAATTAGGATTAACCACTTTTACATAAAAATTAGAACTTCTTACTCTCAAGTTAGATTCAATTTCAGTAGACTAGAACTTTTTAACTTTCGAATTTAGTTGGTCCCAGATGACATCAATACATAGACTTTGTTCTATATACTACTTGTACAACACATATATTTGTGTGAATCACTAGTTTCTCACAGCATTTGGTTTGTATTAAGTTTTCGATGTTGTTGCTGGGGAGCAACTCTAATTTAGGAAAACCTTAGTCGATCCATTAGAGTCAATACTTGAGAACTGTAGTGTTGTACTTTTACTGCAAGTTGTTTGTTATTTCCATTCTAGACAAAAATTCAAAAATTTCTTATGCGTGCTTCCTTTTTATTTCATTTTCTAATTTTCCAAATTGTGAAAATTATGTTTGTTTTGTTTTTTTCAGCCTTGCTTACCTTTCTTTGTTTTAAGTAGTTTGTTTTGTTGAATTGTGTATATTTGTTAGTTAGGATCACTTCACTGCAACTTTCTAGTAGTGTATGCATAAGACTCGAAATCGGAACTAGTACCTCATAATCTTGAGAGAGAGAAAAAAAATGAAAATTTTAAAAAACACAAAAAGAAATTAGAAGAGATGATAAACCTACCTTAGGAAAGTTACCACACACAAAGACCACACGACTTTCCTAGATCTCTTAGGGAATTTGCCAACCCCTCGGTAGAAGAAATCTACTTGACTATCAACACCCATGATGTGGAAGCCAATTCCTTTGAACTTAAACCCTTCATTATTCATATGATGCAAAATAACCAGTTTGGAGTATTACACATGGAAGTTCCTAATCTCCATTTAGGGAGCTCTCTTGAACTTCGTGCTACATTTCAATATAATGGTGTCTTTAATGAAGTTATTAGGTTTAGGCTTTTCTCTCTCCCTTAGGGATAAGGCTAAAATGTGACTCAATTTCATAGTTCCAGGGTCTATCACAACATGGAATGAACTTGAAAGAAATTCTTAGCAAACATATTTTCCTTCATCTAAAACGACAAAACTTAGGAATGACATCACTTCATTTAGCCAATTAGATGTAGAATTCATTTATGATGCTTGAGAAAGATTTGAGGAGCCTCTTAGGAAATGTCCCTATCATGTTTTAATCGACTGGCTATTCATTCAAACGTTTTATAATGGGCTAGTAATATTTCTTAGCTCCATAATAGATGCAATAGCAGAGGGAGCACTCATGTTTAAGCCATTTGAGGAGGCACTTACATTGATTGGAGAAATGATGAGAAATAATATTCATCGGTTATCAGAGAGATTAAACTTTAATAAGACGGCTAGCGTGCATGATACGAATGTGTTAGCCATTTTGACATCTCAAGTAGCCACTATATATAGAAAATTAGATAACCTAGGGTTGAATTCTGCACCAGGATCATCAGCATAAAGGTGAATTCTTTTGGGCAACTGGTGGATCTTAGTGCTTTGCCTGTTATAATCCATGAATGTTATATCTAATAGGAACCTATATTTCAACAACTACAACCCCGACTGGATAATTGAATAATAGAAACTAAAATGTGGGAACCCAGTAGTGGAAGAATAACCAAGCTAGCCCAGTAGGAAATTAGAATAAGCATGGTCGTAGCAATCCTATGATGACATATCTACGTAGATTTAACTCAAATACACAATTTAAAGAGAAGAAGTTGTCCTTGGAAGAGATTATGATGCAAATGGGGAATCAACTACAGAGTCAAGCTACAATGATTAGGAACATTGAAAACCAGCTAGGCCAGATAACAAACTCAATGAGTAATAGAACTTAGGGAAATCTTCCTAACAAAACCAAAGTTAACCCCAAGGATAAAAGATGTGAACATGTAAAAGCCATAAATTTACGGAGGGAAAATAGGTTGGAGGAAGTGAATAGGAAGGAGCCTATAGAAGAGGAATCCAACCCCGAGCCCAAAAGTAGTAAAAAACCTACCCCTGACTAATCTAGGAAGGAGCTAGAAAGAATGCCCCCACCATTTTCCCAAGGCTTAAAAACATAATCTGGATCAGTTATTCTCGAGTTTCTTAGAAGTGTTTAAGAAGCTAACCTTCAACATTTCTTTTGCTGAAGCTTTAGAGCAAATGCCTAACTATATGAATTTATGAAATGTACTCTTAATATTAAAAGAAAACTAGGATTTTGAAATAATAGCTTTAAAAGAGGATTGTAGTGCTATTATCTCGAAGAAGCTCTCTTAGAAACTTAAGGGTCTTGATA